GAGCAGGCCAACCAGACTATGCCAGAGGCAGTCCCTCTTCCCATCACCATGTAACCTACTTAGACACTAAACTGCCATGGACCACATCTGTGCAGGGGCTCTAGGTTATCTCCATTCATGGTACTTGGTTGGGGTATGAGTCTCTGAGAAGACCCCTGTGTTCAAATTTTCTGGTTCTGTTGCTCTCCTTGTGGGGTTCCCGTCCTCTGCAGATGCTGCTATTTCCCACTTCTTACATAAGATTCCATGCACTCCACCCAACCATCGGCCGTAAGTCTCAGTGTCTGCCCCAACAGTCCGCAGGGCAGAGCCCCCCCAGAGGCCCTCCCCTGCAGGTCCCTAGGCTGTTTCCTGCCTTCTTCTTCTTCTGATGTCCATCCTCTTTGCCCTTCAGGATGCGGATTGAGCATTCTAGTCAGAGTCCTCCCTCTAGATCAGTTTCTCTATATGTACAGATTTTAGGAGGTTTATCCTATATTGTACGTCTCTATGAGTGAGTATATACTGTGTGCTTCCTTCTGCTTTTGGGATAGCTCTTATTTTTAGGAAACCTGCATTGATCCCTTAGAAAATCTTAACTCAGAACCATTTCACAACCCCACCTGACTTCTCTCCAGAGATGTGAGTTTTGGAGAAGCATCTACGCTCCTTCCTACTGCATAATAAAACCCAAGGATAGCTGACAAATGCCCTGAAAACTGTAAGAAGCAGTGGTATTTTTTTTCATGGTCTGGGTGATTATAATACTGAAATAACTTCAAGAAATATGGCCGGATGGTTTGAATGTGATCCGTCCTTTATCGGCTCATGCATTGCATGTGCGCTCCTTTGTGGTGCTGCTATTTGGGAAGGGATTTCAACTCTACGAAGTACAGCATTCTGCAGAGAGTAGGCCATTCTCTCTGCTTACTGGAAGCTATGACATAAATTATTCTTCTCTGTGACCCCTCCCCACATGAAGTCGTGAGAGCCCTAAAGCCAGGATGAATTCTTCTCTCTGGGTGGTTGCTCAGGGATTCTGTTACATTGAAGAAAATTCTGTCTAACATTAAAGTCTAAAGCACCCAAAATTTTTTATAATGATTATTGTTGTAGTTGTTATTATTGTTATTATTTTGCTCTTGCTGGACGCTGATTTTCCTGAAGGTTACAGTCATGAGAGAGATTTTGAGAAATATTTTTCCTGAAATCTAATGTTTTCTTAGAAATAGCATAATATTTTGTCCTATTCTGATAAATTATTAATGTCTAAAAGTAAAAGAGTATCCTATTGTCACTAATTTAAAATGCTACAAATAAGTTGGATGTAAGAATCAAAATGAAAAAAATCAAATGACATAGAACACCTTTTTTAGTATCTTAGTCCCTAGAGACCTCTAAAAAATGTCTAATGAAAACTGACATTTGTAAAGCAAATCAGCCAAGAGTATATTATATGATCAGGTATGTAAAATCAATAAAACATTGTATTATCAATAAGGTTTATTGTAAACTTTGTTTCCTTTCACCATTTTCTCTAGTCTATTATTCTAGTACAGATGAAAATGATTTTTCCATATATGTGGTAGAACATTAATCAGTCCTTCTAGGCTTAAGAAAAACCCTCAGCTCTTCTGAAACTGCTCTCTGTGGGACAGACAGATGGGCAACTGACAGCCAACTGCTAAGAACCGGCTCTCTCCAGGTCTCCACCATCTTTGATCTCATGAGAAAGAGGAGAAATCCTGAAATTTCTCATATTCAGTGCTAATGTAATTGAATTATAACCATGATATTTGAATAATTTATAATAAAATAGGGATGTTTAGTTTTCTCTGAAAGAGCTCAGAACACCCAACTCTTCTCTATGTTCTTTATACAATTGTGAGGTAATGTGCGGGGGTCCACAATGAAGCAATCTTTAGGAACTGCTGTGATCCTAAGTGTACAAAGATCTCTCTTGGAGTTTTGCATTTATGAGATGTAAAGACATAGCAATGGGTCAACAGACTTTCCAGGGGTCCTTGATCCATGCTTGTGTCAGGCAATTTTTAATGAACCGTGACAGAAACAGAGGGCGAGGAAGGGTTTACTTTTGGCTCATAATTGAAGAGGTATTGTCCTGCATGCTTGCAAGGGCTTGGTTCAAGGCCATGGGAACATGCATCCTGGCTTGTTGTAGTTTAGGAAACTGGGAAGCATTGAAAGGTTGACCTGGAATTGGGGCTGTGTTGAGTTAGCAAAGACTGTATGAACTTCCCTACTTCTGTCAGCCAAGCTTTGCCTTTTAAAGCTTCAAAAGTTCCCTCAAACAGTGCAATCAATTAGGGATCTGTGTGTGTGTGTGTGGGGGGGAGCATTCTATCTCCACCACCTAAAATGGATTCTGCCCTCGTCCCCTATAGGCTTGTGGGTATTGTATTACACAAACTGCAGTCAATTCAACTTGTCCAAAGTCTCTGCTGAGACTCAAGGCAAACTCAGCTGTGAGGCTCTGTAAAAGTCGGGAAGCAAGTTGCTTACTTTCGATGTACAGTGGCACTTGATTCCAAAAGGACAAAAAAAAAAAAAAAAAAAAAAAAAGAGGGAGGATAGTAGGGGAAATTTAGATGGAACAATACCAAAACCCAAGCGGGTAAGCATCAAACCCCACAGCTCCACGGGGAGCTGGCTGAGACCCACTGCTGGTGATGATCTGCTTTCAGCACACATGGCCCCTCTCTTGGATGGAACCTCTCACTGGCTGCAGGTTTTCTAAACTGTCTACAATACCTCTAGCACTATGTGGATGCCAATGCTGAGTTTTGCTTCTAGGTCGAGGGATATCCTGGCCCACTTGGATCACGGCTTTAGTTGCTAAGGGCCTGAGGGACTGAATTTTCTTAGGCAGGTATTTTGAAGGAAACTCCTTTAGGGGCGTACCCTGTTCGGGATCTCCTTTCTTTAAAATGAGTGTTTTCAAAAGGGGTTTCGGGTTTATGTTCTGAAGCCTTTAGAGGGTGGGGTCTTGCATTAAGGCATCGTTTGTTGCAGTCAGTACGGACTGGACATCCACTCTTCAGTTGTGCTAGTAGTTATTTCTCCCCCAGACCTTTCTGCTCTTCTACTGTAAACCTAGATAAAGACACTGAGTAAATATGCTGCAGCCTGTATACTATGCTGCCTTGAAATTTCCTTGGCCAAGCAACTTAGTCCATTGTTTTTGGATTTAGGCTCGTGCACGGTTTTAGTACACAGGCAGTTGCTTTGTCAGAATATTTCATGAATGTATCTTAGTTCAATTACTTGCTCCTGCTTAAAACCTCACAAGCCTGGCCTTTCTGTCTGTATTTCTATCACCATCACGGCATCCTGTATTCCCTCCAGAAAGGCGCATTTATCTCCCTGTATGGCACTCCAGGGCTTCTCCGCCTTGCGGCTCTAAACTCCTGCACATTACTTCTAGGTCCAAAGGACTATGAACTATATATGTGGTCAGGTTGATTAGAGCCACACCCGACCTTCACTACTAATTTTTCGGTATCGATTACTTTTCTTGTTCAAAATGCCCAACAGAAGTAAGTTAAAGGAGAAAAGATTCATTCTCTACTCATAGTTGGGTAGGGTATGGTCCCCAGAGTGAAAAAAGCTTGCATGCTGATGGGTTTGTGACTACAGGAATTTGCCACATCTCAGAAAACCAAGAGGCAGAGAGAGTTTGTGACAAAACTGGGGCTGGTTATAAACCTCAAAGCCCATCCATGTGAGCTACTTTCTTCAGCCAGGCCTCACTCTGAAAGGTTCTATAGCCTCCATATACAACAGCTGGAGACAAGTACTAAAGCCCAGGAACTGTGGGGGGCACTGTATATCTAAACCATGACATGGCTAAATTATGGACTTCAAGTTAAAAACTGAATAGTGACCATTTAAAGAGAGTGGGATTTTTGCATATATGCTCACAGACTAAATAATTCATAGAAGAGCAGAGTTTCAGCTCCCTCATGTACTCTGTTCCAACACCACAGAACCAATTGTTAGGACAATCTAAGTACAACTTAGCTTCCACGAGACATGTTACTTGAAGTGCTGAGTGATAGTCACTGACCTGAGAGGACAGCTTTGTTTGAGAGACAACTGATAACATCCAAAGAGCAGCTCCAGTGCGGTTCTGTGTTGACCATTGTTCAGTGAGTGTTAGAAGTTGGTACAACCTGTCCCTAGCGTTTTTACAACAGCAGAAAAGAAGGTGGAGCATGTGGGGCTTCTGTGGCTGCTGCGGAGTGATCTTATAGTTTTATTTTAATGTCTCTTTCTCAGTAATTACCTGCTGTCAGTTTCAAGGTGACAGGATTGGGGACTGAAATTATTTCAGAGGTTCAACTGCATATGCTCATAGACTACCAAAGCTAGCTACCCTAAGCCCTGTGTCAATGGACGTTTATGGTTTTCATATTTGAATATCACTCAGCCCTGACTGTTGAAAAAGAATTGTAATAAATAACCTACTGGAATCTATCCTTTAAAAAGACAAATGTCCTAGTGAATATTGAAGTAGAAAATGTCCCACCTGTTTGAGATGTTTGGGTGACTGTAGTAGTCTTCAGCTCTACTCTGCATGAAAAACGATTATTCACGATGTGTTGGATCAAATGCTGAAGGCAGGAACATACTGGGAAAATGGTTCCTTTTTTGATTGACATTCACAGCCGACTATAGAAATACCCAAGCTAATCTCATTTTATACCCGTTTATAGGTCTATAAAAGGAGCCTCTGATGTAAGTTAGGGAATTTGTCTTATTTGTCCTTCCTGGTGCCTTGAAAACAACAGGGAATATAATGAGGGGTCTTTTCTGCTTTCGCTAAGGAAAATAATTGGATTTTATTATGCCATTGTTTTTGTGGGGTAAGATACAAGTTTCAAAGTAAAAATCAAGGGAATTCAGTGGTTTATATTTGACTAAGGAGGCATTATGCAGGTTCCTAAGATTTCTTTAAATCTTACTTAGGTTATTAAATTGGTTGGAGTTAACATCAGTACCTGGTTTCTTCGGGAGACTGTAGAACTTTTCATCATCAGACTGTCTTCTGGCGGCCTTTTGTTGGAACACTGTCAAAAACATAGAACATAAAGTTTATTAAACAAAGGTATTTAAGAATATGAAATACAGTGTGAAAACCTCCATGAAAGCAGAATGCAATAGATCATTTTCCTTAGTCACAGTATCTGAATTGTATTTGTTTTTTAGTATAAGGATTATTAAATCTGCAATTTTCTCCTCTGTGCAGCTTATCAGTAAGTTTTGAAAGCATTTTCTTTGGGCAGAGTCCTGTGATGTCGATAGAATGTTTCCCTAAACCAGTTAAATCAAGCCGATTCCCTTTTGATATCAGATAAAGATAAAAGCTCCATTTGGTTAGACGTGATAAATGTTAAACCCACATGAAGAATCCATTTGCATAGAAACTTACTCAAACTGGCTTGGGGCTGATAAGCAAGCATAATTATTGTTTCTTCATAAACTGAAGAAAAAGCCTGTTGAATTCCACAGATGTAATAATAAAAAAAAAGGCACTTTGCTCTTGCGTCATCTACCCAGACCTCAGACCTATTAAAGCAGCTTGTTTGAATTACTTCATTATCTGAAAAGTGCTTTGTTCTCATTTATTATTTCTCACATGAAATTCTGGGAATTAAGTCAGCATTACTCACTCTAGTTTGCAGATGAAAGGTAAAATTCAGTGTTTAATATTTATGAAGCACACACAAAGTTCTGGTTACTTTCTGGTATTTGTTAATGAAATAGACCAGATCCTTTACATCCGGAGTTCCATTTATTTTTTATGGGCAGTCTGAATTATGGGGTTTGGGAACTCGAAGAGGCCTCATATGTTTATAGACGAGGAAGTAACCAGCTTGTAAAAGGGCTAAGTGAATTTTGAAATGATCCCAGAGTTGTTAGCTGAGAAATGATTTAGACCCTTAAGCCTTGGGCTTCGGTCTGCTGCTTCCTCCTTACCGCGCTGCTGTGTCTCCCACTTAGTGACGCTTCCCTTTTAAAGTTAGAGGGAGAGGCTGGGAGGAGTGACAGGGACATGGCCGTGCTCTTGTTGCTTTTGGTATCTCAGCAGGATCTTCCTATAAAATGGAACTGAGGCACATGGGAGCAAGGAGACAGCTGTATGGCACCTGGCCACTGTGACCTGGAGAGACACCTCAGCTATGATCATGGAGTTCTGCTGTGGCTTGACCTTTTTTTTTATATCAAGGTCATATATGGAATTAATCAAGAATACTTATTTTTAATTTTTTGAAACAAATGGCCCAACATTAAGTATTATCAAATACTTAATGTCTTAGATGATGTCAAGAGAAAGATTATTCCTCTCCACGTCCTCAGGAGAAGTGAATAGACTGTCAAATATGATGCATTTGAGAAAATTATACATGTAAAGTAACATCTCTGGTTGAAAATAAGTTTTCATTAAATAAGTTTGTTCATTCTGGGTTCATTGTGGTTTTTTTCTTAATAAAATATAATGACTGGTATTTGGCATGTGACTATGCTTCGGGATATGAGATTTCCCACTCGCCCAATTTGTACTTGCTGTTTTCATCAGCTAGTTCTGCGCTTTCATTAGCATACAGTAAAGACAGGTAGCCTGTGCTTTTGCTAATATTGTTAAGACATAATGGAGAATGTCTAAGGCTGAAAAACTGTAGTCTGGCATCATTAATATGGGAAATGACTTTAACTCAAAGGCACATGCAAACAATAATTTCTCCAATTAAACAGCATGTTACCTACGAGTTTTATGGATCTTGCGGAGGTTGGAGGCTGCAGAGCATCTACAGCCAGACTTTTCTTTCCAGCTTTTTTGTGGATGAGAATTTGCCGTAAATTCAATTTACCCTGGATGCTTTTTGGGGATACCTTCTTCTGGCAACAAATGTTCAGCCCATGTGACATGCGGTTATGCTCACCCTCAGTGACTGTGCAGTAGTGCGATTTCTCTAATTGAACTGGGGTCAACTTGGAGTCAGGGGTGGACTGCTGGGGTGGGTGGTGGCGTGAGGAGATGCTGATAACAGAGCTGTATGTGGAGGGCAGGCCGTGGGTTGCAACATCAGTTCCTCTAACATCTAACCTGCCTTAGAATTCCTTTCCTCACTTCCAGATGTACCATGTCTCATCTCTTGCCCCTGCAACTTACTGATGAGTTTTACATCCTTATAAAGATTTAGACTTAGTGAATAGTCTTCTCAATATTTTCAAAATTCAAAGGCATTTTTCAAATACAACATAACCATGAGGGAAAACCTATTATTTGTAGTCAGAGGGCTTGGACTAAGAGGAAAAACTAGAAATTTAAATCACAGAGCAGGAATAATTTTTAAAAATACGTTGACAGATCTGACCCAATGTGCTTAAATTCTTAGACAACATTGTTCCAACTGCATTTTATTCGGTCAATGTTCAAAGAATGCTACTAATGCCAGTACGACAAGTCATCCTGGCAAATCTTTGCCCAGTGTAATCTTATTTTTCTCCTGTTACCAGAAGTTAGAATTTGAGCAAAGAAAAAGATAAACACAGTATTTATCTTGACCTTAAACGAAGAAAAAAAAAACAAACAAACAAGTTTTGAGGTTTAAAGTAATCCTAAACAATACAATGTCCCAAGGGGACAACCTTATTTATTTCAACTATTGGTAAAAATGAGGTCTGTAAAAGTTTCTCCAGAATTGAAATGACATTAAATGGAAAAATTAGCATAGTATTAAACATTAAAAAATGTTAAGCAAAGCAGAGGTAGCAGAGGAGGAGAGAGTGAAGCAGAACAAGCAGAGGTAGCAGAGGAGGAGAGAGGGAAGCAGAACAAGCAGAGG